TTGGTCTCAGCAACAAGAGAAAAGTAACCAAGACTGCAACCTTTTTATGGTTTTAAAATAATTAGAAGGAAATAATATTTAAAAAAAGAAACCAGAGCTAGGGATATAGTGTCACAGTGCCTGCCTGGCAAGCACAAGGTCCTAAGTTCTTTGATTCCAGGTTCAAAAAAAAGAAATTAAGGTAGGTTAATTTCAATCACAATTGCTGTACTTGTTTGATGCACTGGTTGATTGTGAAAATGTTACAATAAACAGACCATTAATAAGACAGGAAGTGTCTTGGCTCATCTTGTTTTCCCTGTTCTGGTCCACTCTGCCATATTCCTTTCTAGTGGAAAGTAATGGTACTTAGAAACCAGGATCTCCTAGCAGGATGTGGAGGTGCACACCTATAATCCTACCATTTGGGAAGTGGCAGGAGGACTACTGCAAATTAAAGGCCAGCCTGGACTACACAGTGAGACCCTGTCTCAAGAAAAAAAAAAGGAAAATAAAAGACACCAGGTTCTTCTAGTCTATGCAAGGACACGAGTTTGGTCCCTAGCACTGCCACAAATAAAATAAATTAATAAATGATAATAATAATGACGATAAGAAGCAGCAACAGCTGCCAACAAATCTGGCATGTAGGCACATACATGCCTACAATCCCAGCACTTGGAAGGCTGAGTAGGATTTCAAGTTCAAGGCCAGCCTGGCTATATAGAGAGACCCTGTCTCAAAGAACAAACAAAACAATAACAACCAAAAAAAGGGGAGTGGGGACACAGCTCAGCAGCACAAGCGCTTGCTTGGCAAGCACAAGGTCCTGCGTTTGATTCATGGCACCAAAAAAAAAAAAAAAAAAAAGGCAGGGGGTGGGGGGAATCTAGTACGCATTTAATAAATATTAGCTACAATTATTATTTGTGGTCCAGATGATTTTAAGACAATTGTAGGTTATTTGCAAGCACTTTACTGAAAACAGAGTCTGTCTTTCATTGAATCCCTGTCTCTCTGGCAGAGGCCCACACAGCCCAAGACCCACCTGCATGGCCGCATCCCCTATTGCCCGTCGGATCTCCCTCAGGGTCTGGTACCGCTCCAGCAAATGATCCCCACAGACGATGTCTACCTATGGGAGACGAGATCATGTCAGATTGCTTTCCTGCTCCGAACAGCACCCAAAGAAATGACGAGAAAATCAATATAATTACTTCCAGGCTAGACTCTGCTTTTATTTTAGGCTGATCAAACATTCTCATGGTTTTAGAAAAATTTTAATAAAAAGTCAAAAGGTAAGATGGGAAGAACACTGAACAACATAGCACTATATAGTTCTAAAAATGATTCCTTGAATCTTGGAGAAATTAAATTGTGTCCAATGTAACTTAGCTCAAAGTGGCACAGGAGTACTTTTTCTAAAAGTTTCACAATAATTACATAGTATTAATGATTAAGAAGGTGACCTTTTAATGGTTCTTTCATGTAGAATTCTTTTTCCAAAAATACCATATCTGTCTTAAAATACTAAGAAAATTTTTGTGAACAGAACAACCTTAACATGATTATTTTTCTTTTTTTTTGAGATGGGGTCTCACTGTGTAGCTCAGGCTGGCCTCGAACTCACTATGCAGCCCAGGCTGCCCTCAAATTTGTGGTGATCCTCCTGCCTCAGTCTCCCAAAGTGCCGGGATTGCGAGCATGTGCTACCATGCCCAGCACTTTAACATTTTTTCAGCACATGAGTGAGGTTAAAGCTCTAAGATCTACCTGGTGTTTATACAGAATCCTCCAGAATGAATACTGTAGAATTATATACTATAGTGCAGTAAGTATATTTACTTACTGAGATCAAAATGCAAATCTGGAGGCTCTGTCTGTGACTGAGCACTTCCTTACCACTGCCTTACAATGGGGTCCGGTCCTCATCATCTGTTTTTCTCTCTGCAACACTAGGGTCTGAATCCAGGACCTTCTCCTTGAGCTACATCTCCAGCTCTCTCTTATTTCTTATGTTGAGACAGAGTCTCACTAAGTCACTAAATTGCCCAAGATGGGTTTAAATCTGTAATCTTCCTGTCTCAGCCTCCCCAAGTGCCTGGATTACAGCCATGCACCAGCATCCCTGGTTAGTTTCTCATCTTATGTAAATATGTATCACTCAACTGGCTCTACCTCTGTAAGTCCTTAGTCTCAAACTGTCCTCTAAATCAGAATAGCACCTCTGATTCCTCTTTTTCTTCCCATATGCAATCAACTGTAAAGTCCTACTGCTTCTCCCTTCTTATCCCTTGATTTCAGTGTATCTATCAACTTCTGCTCCTCTGCTCATACCTCTAAAACCACTCATTTTCCAACCAGAATTCCTACTTTCAAACTCTTTTTGCTTAAAAAAAAAAACCCTAGGGGCTGGGAGTGTAGTTCAATGGGATGCATGCGGCCTTAGGTCCAATCCTCAGCACCAGCATAACCCACTCCCCAAAAAGGAAGTCCATAATAAACCCTACACCCTGGCAACATGTTACCACATTCTCCTTTCCAATCTTGAGTCTGCTTGCTTGCTTGTTTTTTGTGGTACTGAGGATAGAACCCAGGGTACGTTACCAGTGAGCCACACTCTCCAGCTTTGTTTTATTTGCTTGTTTTTGGAGACACTAAATAAACGAAACTCACTAACTGCCCAGGCTGGTCTCAAAACTTGATCTTCCTGCCTCAGTCTCCTGAGTAGCTAAGATTACACTGGCAACAAGTTTCTTAAAAAATTATAATTCACTGTGACAAATTCAAAAGCACAGGATATACAACAAATTCTTAAGAAGCATATCATTACAGCCGGGCATAGTGGAACACACCTGTAATCCCAGAACCCTGAGAAGTTGAGACAGCAGGATTGTAAGTACGAGCCCAGTTTGGGCAATTTGGAGACCTAGTCTTAGTGAAACACTGTCTCAAAAAATTAAAAAAAGGGGCGGAGACTGTGGCTCAATACGAAGGTCATTGGCTCAGTACCAGGAAAAGTGCAAAACCAACACCAGAGCCTTATAAAAAGTCGTAACTCTTCCCACACTTCAGTCCCAACCCCTAGCTCATGGCCCGTTACTAACCATTACTAGAGTAGTGCTAGATGCTATGTGCACAATCATTTCTGTCTTTAAAAAAATGTGAACATGACACAAATAATTTTTTAATGGAAACCTCAAAAACATTTCTTAACCCCACAATTTAGGAGCCTGAGGCAAGAGGATCACAAATTTTAGGGCATCCTGGGCTGTACAGTGAATGCAAGGCTGGCCCCGACTACACAATGAGACTCTCTCAAAATAAACAAACAGATAAAATACATGATTTTTTTTTTAACCCTTGGTGTTTTGTTTTGTTTTGTTTTTTCTTTTGGTTGGCCACAAACCATTTTAAAGGTAGTTTATTATGCAATAGTTCACTGGTAATTATTCCTTCCTGCTAACGAAAGTCCCATCTCTGTAAATAAAACACATAGCACATATTTCCTACCCAGGACCACCTGGTTTAAATAAAGTACACATGGTAGACTTAAGTGTCTGGGGGACACCAGAATTCCATCCCACTCACCGGTGACCCACCCTGACGCCTCCTTCACATGAAATGTAACCCAATTATTTACCTTCTCTTTGATTCAGATAGTTTAAAAGATGGTACTCACAAATTAATGGGTGTGTACATTTGATAATTGGGTTGCACTGTTTTAATATTTTGTGAAATAAGGAAAATATTCCTTAAGGAAGTAAGGAATATTTTCTAGAGAGATAAAGAGCTGACAGAAAAAGGTTGAGACAGAATTTAAATCATTTTATTTCTAAATGTTACAAACCTTGAATTCTATAAGGAAAAGAGAACATGGTAACTATAATTAATAATGCTTTTTTGGTTTTTTGTTTTGAGGTACCAGAACTAAACCCAGGGCCTGAAACATGCTAATAACAATCTATTCTTGAAAAGTACTGAGTACAAATTCTAGTGTTCTCACCATAAAAAAAAGCCAGGCATGGTGG